CCACGGCGGGCCGCCCCCTTGGGGCAGCTTCACCACGGCAAACTGTTCCCCTAGTGCGGCTCAGCCCCTAGATCTATTTTTTTACACCTTGATCTAATTTTTTACATCCATTCCTCTAGATCTAGATATGCATAAAATTAATTTTCATAAATCTTACCTCCGTGAGTCTCATAGAAGCTCTTCTTTTGCCCCGATTCAAATTTGCCATGATTTTTGATGTTTTAGAGTTGAATGAAGAAGTTGTAAAGATTTGTTTAGGGTTTTGATGAAGAAGTTGTTTGAAGTAAAGTTGTCAAGATTTTAGTTTGAATGTTGTTTTAAGGTAGTAAAGGATTTGAAGTTAAAATGAATAAAGGGCAAAAGTGTAAAATTTGGGGCAGTGAATAGCAAAAATAGGGCGGTATTTTGCAATCCAGATTTGAAAAGTACAAGGGATAAAGTGGCTATTCAGCCATTTAGAATTGCTAACTACAATCAACCAATAGATGATGTGGTAACAAATCTCTCCATAATCACAACTACAAGGAAATATGATTCACATATAATTACCATATAAGTGTAGATACACCAATTCTTTGCCAGTTTTATAATATGATGATCTATGGCGTGACTAAATTTAAACTTTGTGTGGTGCCAAAAAAAAATTTTCAAACTTGACGAGACAGCAAAGAGAGAGCCTTTTATGCAGCCCCCAACGATCAAAATCTCGCAAAACACCACGGAGCTAGAGCCCAGCTCCTTCGTACCATTCATTGACATCACTGGCGGAACCAAAGGGGGGCAGCAGGGGCCATGGCCCCCCTCCGCCTAATGAAAGCCTTACTTAAAGTGTAATTTTACAACTAAAGAAATTGGTAAAATCTTATTCCCCCTCCCTTCTATCTTCTAATTTGGCCCCTTTTATATTTAATTTGCCCCCATAATTTTGTTTTTATATTTTAACCCATTGATAAAACTTATATGTTAGCTCCCTTTTATATATAAATAAATTATTCAAGTTCTCTCTAATTTCTTTCAATCTATTTGATGATTAATTTTTTATTTTGTATTTGTATTTAATACTTTATTTATGGTATTATTACTCATTAGGTTGGTGACGATTTAACTCGTGACATTAAATTTCTTTGTTTACATTGTTATATATTATCTTTAGCTTAACATAAATTTATATACGATAATTAGATGTTGACGGATTGAAATTTAATGTGTATATATATACACCGGTCAGCCCCTAAAGAAAATTTTCTGGTTCCGCCCCTGATCGATGTAAATCGATGGCAAGTAAGGGGCGGCGAGTGAGATACTAAATACTATCAATTTAGATGGGGCAAAATTACTATTGTTTCTTAAACTTCTGGTAGTAATCATCAAGTTCTTCAGATTTTGGTTGTTCACTTGCTATCATAAAGTACATGAATGATGACATGTCTCTAGTCTCTACTCGCCTAGATTTAGTATTTTCTTTTTCTGCTCTAAAACATTTTGAAAAAGTTGTTAACCGATGTAAACCTGATTGGCAAGATCAGATGAAGCTTAAGCTGTTAGCCAATTGTTTATTTGGACGGCAATGCAGTGCAAATAGTCGTTTCTGCAACCAACAAAAATCCTACCACCTATCATCACGGGTGAAGAAAATACATCACCCTCAAGCTATGTCTTGCGAATTCCTGCACCGCATATTCTCTTTGATCATTCCCCCCTCCTTCGTCCAAGTTGATTCGAAGCAAAATTATGTTTCCAGTGCTAGTACAAACACAAACCAGCCTGCAAAATATAGCAGAAGAACTTGTTCTAAAAGTATAAAAGATCTGCAATCATCTTGAGTTCTCGACAAACTTCTCAGACGGTTAGTTTGCTTACCTTTCAATTGAATTTTTTGGATTTGATATCAGCCCTAAGTTCTCATCAACATAAGTAGAAGCAATGATAGGATCTCCTACATTTAATTCCCATAGTAGTTCACCTTTTTCCTGCAATGAACTCCCGTTTTTGCATTAATATATTGTAATAATATTAAGATTTACTGGAAATGTAAAAAATGTAGATAAGCAATATGTGAAATCAGTTCCAACTATATTTAGACAAAAAGAAAAAAGAAAAGAGTGATACTTTAGGCATGCCAATGTAGAAAGTAGACATACAATTGGTAAGAAATATTGATTATCATTTGAAATGATTATTGATTTTTTTATTGGAACTTAACAGGCGTGTGCTTAAGTTCTTAAGTCATTGCACGAGTGTATGCAGAGAATTGGATTGCTTTCACCTATTATGCCCACTGCTTTTCTGGTTCTAATAATTAGTCAGATGTTGGTTCGAACTTGGTGGGCAAATTAAGACCAAACTTGTTTTAATTACCTTAGAACCATATAAAAGCTTTTATTGTGCAATATAAGAAAATTATCCTCACCCTTACCCTTTCAAAATAATAAACAATGCCGTTCCTGGAACATATTAGCACCTGCAGGACAAATTAAGCAAACAAAATCTCAGCCAACCATAATAATAATTTTCTATCAAGTTATGATCTGAGCCAATTAAATAAAAAGGCGCAATGACAAAACAACATAAAAATAGATGGAATTAGACAAAGTAAAGGCATGAAAACAAATATAAACTCAACACCTTTTCCAAACACTGAAAATAGTATCAAGCCACAGAATTAATTGCCAAAGACACCATGCAGACTCTGAATTCATATATAAATGTGACTTAATCTAATTTCATATCTGAGTGCCATACCTGAGAAGGAAGTGCATAAGACATGCAAGCTCCAGCAAATATTGGACCACCGGTTCTCCTCTATATTAAGAAAATGATAGATTTGAGACAAAATAATCCCTCTCTCTCTGTCTCTCTCTCTCTTTTTAATATGTATATGTTATGAAAACAGAACTGCATCCGTGACAAACACAACACATTTAAGATTATAACAAATATGATGGATTTTAAAGGCATACTGATACGAAATCTAGTTGTATTAGATTCAAATCCACCCTTTGAATATCCACCAAAGTCGACTTGAACTTCTTCAACTCCTAGACTTGTATGTCGATGACCTTCACAAGGCTATTCCTCCTCTTTCGTCGGCCTTAAGCACTCAATTAGACCTGCAATTGAATTCTCAAGATCACAAAATTCACAAATAACTAAGTTATCTCAACCTAATTGCTTGCTAGGACTCTACAAGATGAAGAACCCTAAGTTTGCTCAAACTAGAACAATGAAGCCAAAGAAATCGATATGGGTATAAACCTCTCAACTTTATTGATTAACTTGACTTATCTTTACAAGAGGAGGATGGTCCCTTTATATAGTGATGGGGACGAACCTCTCCCTAATCCTAAAGCCATAAGGGCGGCATAAACATAAAGGAAGGAACAAGGAAATAGCCTACTCCTTGTCCTACTAGGAAAAGTAAATAACATTACATAATTAAGTAATGATTGGACTTAGTCAAACAAGGCCCAACCCAATGTCTTCTAGATTAAATAAATAACTAATCTAAGATAGAATAAAGGCTCATGAGGCCGAATTACACAATGCTAAAGCCTAATGCTCATCGATTTCAAGTAAGGTGAACAACCTTGGAATAGATGGGAATATTCTTGGTGATGTCGACTTCAATGCCTTCCAAATGGTCTTCAATGGACTCTAAACCTCCAAGATGAGATCTTACAAAGCCCAATAAAGCTTCCTTGAACCTTTTAGCCCGAGCCCTTGTCATTGGACCTTGCGGAATAGCTAATGGATCGAATGGCCGGTTGTGGCCGGATGGCGCATGCGTTAGCCCGTGCGATGGCCGGTTGTGGCCAGATGGCTTGTGCGATGTCTCGTGCGGCGTCCCATGCGTTGGCCGGTTGCTCCATACGATGGTGGTCGGTCCTCAACTCCTTGCTCCGCCAAGCTTGTGTTCAATCCGGGATCATCCGTGGCATCTTCTTGAATCTCCAAAACATCTCCATGTTTATCCAAGACATGATCTCCAATGGCTCCATTGTGCTCTTCTAAGCCATGATAAGCCCTTGGCGCATCATCCCCTCTCCCTTGAAAAGGATTTGTCCTCAAATTTGCATCACTATCAAACAAGGATGAGTCTGAAACATTAAAAATAGCACTTACAGTGCCATATTCATTAGGAAGATCTAGCTTGTAGGCGTTGTTGTTGATCCTCTCCAAGACTTGGAATGGACCATCTCCACGAGGTAAGAGCTTAGACTTTCTCTTTTCAGGGAACTTCTCCTTCCTTAGATGCAACCAAACCCAATCCCCGGGTTCAAAGATGACTTCCTTGCGCCCTTTGTTAGCATTCTTCATGTAGTGTTGTGTCTTCTTCTCAATTTGAGCTCGAACCCTAGCAGGAAGTTCCCTAAAATAATCGGCCTTCCTTTGTCCATCCATGTCGACTTGCACACTCAAAGGTAAACTCAACAAATCCAATGGGGTTAAAGGATTAAAGCCATACACAGTTTCAAAAGGTGAATATCCAGTGGTGCTATGTATGCTTCTATTATATGCAAATTCGACATGAGGTAGACAATCCTCCCAAGTTCTTAAGTTCTTTTTAATTAAAGCCCTAAGCAAAGTAGACAAAGTTCTATTAACTACCTCGGTTTGACCATCAGTTTGAGGATGACAAGTAGTAGAAAATAACAACTTAGTACCTAACTTAGCCCATAAAGTTCTCCAAAAGTGACTTAAGAACTTAGCATCTCTATCACTTACAATCGTTCTAGGCATTCCATGTAGTCTAACAATTTCCTTAAAGAACAAATTAGTTACATTAATGGCATCATCCGTTTTAGTACATGCAATAAAGTGTGCCATCTTAGAAAACCTATCAACAACCACAAAGATAGAATCTTTACCTCTCCTAGAACGAGGTAAACCTAACACAAAGTCCATGCTAATATGAGTCCATGGTTCATGAGGAATAGGCAAGGGAGTATATAATCCATGAGGTTTAGAAGTAGATTTAGCTTGCAAACAAACAATGCAACTAGCAACATACTTCCCTACATCATGTCGCATCTTAGGCCAAAAGAAGTGTTCATGCAATATGCCATATGTTCTATCAACTCCAAAGTGACCCATTAAACCCCCTTCATGCGATTCCCTCAAGAGCAAGATGCGCAAAGAACAAGAAGGCACACACAATCTAGATTCCTTAAACAAAAATCCATCATGCTTATAATACTTTCCAAAACCAGAATTTTCACATGCTTTAAAGAGTTCACCAAAATAAACGTCACTAGCATACAATTCCTTAATATACTCAAAACCAAGAAACTTAGAATTAAGCATGGAAAGTAAGACATACCTCCTTGATAAAGCATCAGCTACCACATTCTCCTTACCTTGTTTGTATCGCACAACATAAGGAAAGCTCTCTATGAACTCGCTCTACTTAGCATGTCTCTTGTTTAACTTTTGTTGGCCTCTTAAATACTTCAAGCTTTCATGATCCGTATGAATCACGAATTCCTTAGGCCAAAGGTAGTGTTGCCAAGTTTGCAACGACCTCACAAGAGCATACAACTCTTTATCATAGGTTGGATAATTCAATGCAGCCCCATTCAATTTCTCACTAAAATAAGCGACGGGCTTCCCACCTTGCATTAAAACAGCTCCAAATCCAACCCCTGATGCATCACATCCAATCTCAAAAGTATTGTTAAAGTTAGGTAAAACAAGCAAAGGAGTATTAGTTAGTTTATCCTTCAACATCTCAAATGCTTCTTGTTGTTCATCTCCCCACTTGAATGGTGCATTCTTCTTCATAACACTTGTAATAGGGGCGGCTAAGGTGCTAAAGTCCTTAACAAACCTCCTATAGAATCCGGCTAGTCCATAAAAAGATCTCACTTGTCCAATGTTGGTGGGTGTTGGCCATTCTTTGATTGCCTTGATCTTTTCCTCATTAACCTCTATACCTTGCGATGAAACCACAAAACCAAGAAAAACAAGCTTGTTTGTGCAAAAGGTGCACTTCTTAAGGTTAGCATATGATTTCTCAACCCTAAGTACATCTAACACACATCTTAGATGCCTAACATGCTCATTTAGGTTTCGGTTATACCCAAGAATATCATCAAAATAAACAACAACAAACTTGCCAATAAAAGCTCTTAAAACATGATTCATTAGTCGCATGAATGTACTAGGTGCATTAGTCAATCCAAAAGGCATAACTAACCATTCATACAACCCTAATTTAGTTTTAAAGGCAGTTTTCCATTCATCACCCTCTTTCATGCGAATTTGATGATAGCCACTCTTAAGATCAATCTTAGAAAATAAACAAGCACCATGCAATTCATCTAGCATATCATCTAATCTAGGAATAGGGTGACGATACTTTACCGTTATGTTGTTTATTGCCCTACAATCAACACACATTCTCCAAGTCCCATCTTTCTTAGGAACAAGCAAAACAGGAACGACACATGGAGAAAGACTTTCACGCACAAAGTCCTTTTGAAGTAGCTCTCCAACTTGCTTCTCCAATTCCTTTGTTTCGTCAGGATTAGTTCTATAAGCTGGCTTATTTGGTATTTGCGCTCCAGGAATGAAATCAATTTGATGCTCAATTCCCCTTATCGGCGGCAACCCACTAGGAATCTCCTCCGGAAACACATCTAAATAATCACTCAAAAGAGAAACAATATTGCTTGGAAGCTCTCTTTCCAAGTCGTTAGTAGCAACAAGTGTATTCTTAAGCAAAAGTAAGATCAAAACAGAATTATCATGTAAAGCCTCTTTAATCTCACTCTTAGTAGCTAACATACACTCCTTAACAACTTTCCTAGAACTAGCATGCTTATCAACCAAATCAGTTTTGCCTTCAACGCAATTCACATTCAAATTAGCATGTTTAGTCTTTTCTTTAGTCCTAAAATCAGATTCCATTTTAGCAAATTCCTCTTTCAATTTTAATTGATCTTTTAAAGCATCTTGAGGTGATAAAGGAATCAAGGTAATATGACGCTTACCACACATAAAAGAATACTTATTTGTTTCACCATCATGATGGACCTTGTTGTCATATTGCCATGGTCGTCCAAGTAGAACATGACATGCTTGCATTAGTAGTACATCACAAAGCACCTCACCATTGTACCTGCCTAAAGAAAGAGAAACTAAAACTTTTTTGTTAACCTTAATCTCCTCTCTATCATTGAACCATCCTAAACTATAGGGTTTAGGGTGTTTAGTGGTGGATAACGCAAGCTCCTTCACCAAATAGACACTAACTATATTTGTGCAACTTCCTCCATCAATGATCACACTACTAGGCTTCCCATTCGCATACATCCTAGTATGAAACAAATTTTCCCTTTGATTTTGCACATCTCCTTTAACATAGGCACTTAAAGTTCTCCTTGCAACTAAATTCAAGAGTGCCGGTGTTGAACCTTCACTATCATCATCATCGGTTTGTACCTCTACTTCATCATCTCCATCTCCACTTGATCCAAGCGCAATATCCTCATCTTCACTTACGATTTCACCATTGTCATTAGTAAGCATGACTTTCTTGTTAACGCAATCCCTTGCAAAGTGTCCATATCCTTGACACTTGAAACACTTTACATAGTTCTTAGAAGATGAACTTGATGAAGACTTAGAATCGGTTTTAGGGGTAACACCCTTTTGCGCAGACTCCTTTTCTTTTGATGACTTGTCATCCTTCTTGATTGGAGTTTTCCATGAGCTTGATGATGATTGAAGTAATTCCTCAACATCATAGTGTTGTTGCATCTCCACAATATCATGAATTTCTCTATTCAATCCCGCCATAAACCTAGCTATAGTAGCTTGTGGAGCTTCATCAACCTCGGCCCTAGACATTAACAACATCATCTCGGAGTAGTACTCATCAACACTCCTAGTTCCTTGCCTCAAAGATTGCAACTCTTGGTAGAGACCATCAGTGTAAAAGCTTGGAACAAACCTCTTGCTCATAAGGCTCTTTAACGACAACCATGTATCAATAGGTCTTTCTAAATTTCTTCTTCTTGCTTGCACTAATTGATTCCACCAATTCAAAGCATTCTCCGTGAATTCAAGAGTAGCAATTTGCACCTTCTTTGGCCGGCATGTGGGTAGTAATCGAAATACATATCCAATTTCGATTCCCACTCCAAATAATCGGATGGTGACCCTCTCCCATTGAATTTAGGGATCTTGTATTTGATGTTGTCTTTAATCTCTTCTCTTTCGATTCCCCTCCTAGGTCGCAAATTCTCATTTATTGCTTGGCCTCCAAGCTCTTGTTGCCTCAATCTTTCCATGGGATCGATTCTAGCTATTTGCCTCGGTGGTGGAAGCTGAATCCTCTCATTCTTTTGTGCGGCGTTAGCCCTTTGTTGAGGTGGTTGAGCTTGTTGATTTTGGCCATCCTTTACTTGTTGGACATCATCAGCGAAGGCATCGAATTTAGTATCCATATTGTCCAAATGTTGCATTAGAGCTTGCAACATAGCAGCCACATTGGCTTGTTCTTGTTCTCCTTCCATAATACCTACAAAAAGAACAAAGATTAGTAGTAAAAACCCTCACACGTGTGTGTGTGCTTATACCTTTGACTTGTGCTCTCGTGTTTGTACTCAAGTCCTATGGATTGGCGGTCCACTACTCGCTTAATGATCTCACAAGATTTGCCTTTCACTAGCTTCAATAGGTCTAATAAGAGCAACTCCTAGAGCACTCCTTTCTTCTCGTGACCTACTTGAGGAACTAACAATTAGTAGCAAAGTTATTTGTGAATCAAAAGAAAAGTGATCTTAAACCAAAGCAAACCACTTAATGCAGGCTCCTTATGTCGAAATTCTTCTCCAAAATTGCTGCACAAAAACTCAATTCAAGCACAAATCACAATATCAATCGGTTAGCATAAACCCTAGTACCACTTGTCTCCTATTTTGTACCACTTGAATCCAATAGGGTTTGTAACCTGAAATTCTTCAAATCAAATCACAATTCACAGCAAAAGCAACCCAAGGATCTCAATTACACAATCAGTTAGGGCTAATTGCAACTAAATAGATCAATTGCACAAGAAAACCCTAATCCCCAAATTTCCCAAACTAAAACCCTAGTTCCTGGAAAAAATCGATAACAACACAGATTTTTTTATTTTTTTCAATATTTTTCCCAGAAAGATCACACCAAAATAAGTCTAAAGCTCAACTTTCACAGCTTTCCGAGCTCAAACGAATCCAGAACAAAATAACAAGTTAAAGGTCGAAATTTTTTTTTATTTTTTTATATTTTTCGATATAACTACTAGTTATAAGGGACTCAAATCTGAAATTTCAAAGCAAAAAGATGTAAGATGAATCGGCTATGAATTTTCAAAGTTTCTGAATTTTTGGAACTATATGGTGCGATAAGAACAAGATGAAGTTTGATGGATGAAAACTTGATGAATGATGAAAAGAAGGATAGATTTACCGATTGAAGATGACAACCTATGCTCTGATTACCAATTGATACGAATCTAGTTGTATTAGATTCAAATCCACCCTTTGAATATCCACCAAAGTCGACTTGAACTTCTTCAACTCCTAGACTTGTATGTCGATGACCTTCACAAGGCTATTCCTCCTCTTTCGTCGGCCTTAAGCACTCAATTAGACCTGCAATTCAATTCTCAAGATCACAAGATTTACAAACAACTAAGTTATCTCAACCTAATTGCTTGCTAGGACTCTACAAGATGAAGAACCCTAAGTTTGCTCAAACTAGAACAATGAAGCCAAAGAAATCGATATGGGTATAAACCTCTCAACTTTATTGATTAACTTGACTTGTGTTTACAAGAGGGGGATGGTCCCTTTATATAGTGGTGGGGGACGCACCTCTCCCTAATCCTAAAGCCATAAGGGCGGCATAAACATAAAGGAAGGAACAAGGAAATAGCCTACTCCTTGTCCTACTAGGAAAAGTAAATAACATTACAT